TATTTACCTTTAGTGTTCAGCATCAGTTTAATGTTATGAAAAAGTTCAATAATAACAATATGTTTTGAAAAATCGATATTGAAAAACTGAGGAAATTTTGGCAGAAATAGACAAAAATCCTAAACTCTGAAACTGTCAAGGCGGTTGGGTATGGCAGGGCACAGCTATAATACAGCACTCCACCGAAGCAGAAAAAGGCACCTGTATCACGTTAGCATGTTCTAGGCCAACACAGGTTACATAGTAAGACATGAGACAGAAGGGGTAGAGGAGAAGGGGAGCGGGGGCCAGGAGAGCGGGGGCGGGGGGAAGAAACAATAAAGGAAGCAAGAAAGAACATGAGTAATCTTAAAAAAAAAAAAAAAAAATAGGCTGGAGACCTGACTTTCTAATTTAAAATTTTCTAGCAGAGTTACAGCAGTGAAGACAGAGTGGACTTGACAGCCCAGGACCAGAGGTACAGCCCAGTGATGCGGTGTGTGCTTGGCACAATCAAGGCCCAGGGTTCCAAACCCTACCCCACCCCACCCCACCACCCCCCAGCACTCAACTGAGGGTTCAGAACCAAATCTTTATATTGATGGTCAGCTGATTTTCAGCAACAACTCAAACACCATTCAACGGGAGGAGGAACACTCTTTTCAACAGTGGTGCTCAGACAGCTAGAGAGCCAGAGGCACAAGGACGAATCCAGGTGTGTACTTTAAAGGATACGCAAAATCAGCTCAAAATGAACGCAACGTGGGAACTAAAATTGTAGAACTCTTAGAAGGAAATACAGGAACTGCTCTTTTTTTAATCATAGATTAAGCAATGGCTTCTCAAATGTGACTCCAAGAGCACAAACACACAGAGGGTTGACAGAAAACAGAGAAATTAGACTTAGGTTAAAATTAGAACTACTGTGTGCTCTCCTTCTACCACAGGACCGAAAGCAAATAGAGCCAGTGGACTATGGACAGAAACTTTTATCACAAAAGTAAGAAAATCCACAGATTGTGAGAAGTCCAAAAATCATACAACTGACAAGTAGCTTAGAGCAGACCATGGAAAGAAGTCCCTACAACCCAATAATACGATGACAAAATGACGCGACTTAGAAATGAGCGATCAACTTGAACAGCTTCTGTGGGGTGTGAAAACAGTGAAGCGAATGGCAAGATGCCCAACACTATTGTTAACTGGGAAAATCAAAGTGAGTAAAGAAGAGGGAAAACTGGAAGGATCCCTACCCTGAGGAGCATGTTGGTAGCTCTTCAAATAGTTAACCATCAATTTCTCCACATAATTAGCAACTTAAACTCCTAAGCATATGCCCAGGAGGATCAAAACTATACGCCCATATAAAATCATGGACATGGCTGGCCGTCACACCTGAGTTCACAGAGACAAAAAAATATAAATAATTCAAATGTCAGTCAGTTCAGAGAGAAGCAAAATGTGATTTTGCAATCTACTAGAATACTATCCAGTCACAAAAAGAATGAAGTAGGTGAGCATGTAAAAATGTCGTCCTAAATGAAGAAGTCAGAAGAAATGCCCAGAGGAGGTAAATCATACAAGGTGAATCAGTGGCTTCAGGGCTGGAAGTGAGAAGTGAAGGGCCAGAGGGCAGTAATGGTAGACAGGCAGCGAGCTCCTTCTCAGGGTAACAAACGTGCCGGCTCATCCCAATGTCAGCCATTGCACAGCTCTGTTTTGACTGCATCAAAACAAAAGCAGGTGGCCAGTGAGGTGGCTCAGAGCCACCAAGGCCAACTGCCTGAGTCCCATCCCTAGAACTCACAACACAGAAGGAAAGACAAACTCCTGCAAGTTGTCCTCTGACTTCTCCACATGTACAGTGATAGTCACGATCACACACACACATGCAGGTGTACACGCATACAACACACACATGCGGGTGTACACACACACATAATACACACACATCCCTAACAAAAACTTTAAACCTACAGAATAGGACATTTTTTAAAAAAAATGAGTGTCAATACACAAATTAAACCTCAAAAAAAAAAAAGCTGTGGTTTAAACCAGGCAATAGTGTCTCACACATTTAATCCCAGCACTTGAGGCAGAGGCAGGCAGATCTGTATTCCAGGCCAACCTGCTCCACACAGCCAGCTCCAGGTCAGCCAGGGCAACACAGTGAAAACCTGTCTAAAGGAAAGAGGACGGAGAGAGGACAGACGGGTGGGAGGGGATTATTTTAAAAAGGAAAACCAACTGTGAGCTGTGAGATGCTGTTTCACATCCCTGTGCTAACACTCTGGTTAGATAAGTGGCCCCATAGGCCAAGTGTTAAAGCCTTGGTTCCAGCTACCCCTGGGAGGCAGTAAAATCGTTAGGAGGTGGGGTCTAGTGGAGAGAAATTACCCTGGAAGGGGATACTGTGACCTGACCATCCTCCCTTCTTTTTACCCCCGCCAGGCATTCCTGTCCTGATGTGCCTACCTTACCACAGGCTAAAAAGCAATAGGGCCAACTGACTATGAACAGAAACCTCCCAAACTATGAGCTAAAATAGGCCTTCCCACTTTTTAAGCTGACTGTTCCAGGTATTCTGTTATAGTAATACATTGCTAACACAGAGGAATACAATAAATATGCTCATCTGGAACTTAGATGCACATTAGATATAGTCCAGTCATGTCCTATGCCCGCAGGCCCCGCACCCCACCGCAGCTACCTTAAATAACAGGCTACACAATTTTTACATTTTATTACCAGTTATTTTGTAACTATGTCATGAAGACAGAAAAATAAAAGTAATAAAACTGCTGGTAAGAAATGCAGATCTCGTAAATTTAATTAATGTACAGACAGAAATAATCAGCCTCTGTGAAATGCTCAGGCAAATGTATATCTGCTTTAAAGTAGACAAGTATATGTTCCACTGAACAAAAGAATAAGAAGAGAATGAGTTACAGCTATATCAAGATCATGTCAAGCCTATATGATTAAAAATAATTTGAGTTCCAAATATTATTAAATATTTTAAATTCTCTTTTATAATATTTTAAATCTTCTTCAACTATTATTTTAAAATATCTACTATTCAGTCCCTTCACATTCAATTGTGTCAAGTCTTTATAGGGGCAAATTCTATGCAAAAATAGGAGTGTCTCTCAGTGGAGACATGGGCTAACAGCCAAAAGGGTTATGGCTAGAAAGCAGTCACAGGTCACAGGTCATAGGTCACAGGTCACGGGAATGAGCACCATGCAGGCCAGAGGTTACAATAACGCTGCTACATAAATTAAAACATGAAAGGCTGAATGTGTGGTGGCCCTCTTCACCAAGAAACGGATTAATCAAATAACCCAAATCCAACCAGTGGACATGCCTCAAGGATTACATGTACACAACTTACAGAAACATGAAAGCAACATATTTCAGCAGCGAAAGGTGGGAGTAAATAATGGAAATGTATACGTGCTCTGTCTCCCCACTAAAACCCCTGTTCTATTCACTCTTGACAGCAGGCCTTCCCAACCAGACCTAGTCTCCCTGCACTCATTTGCTGTATTGTAGTGCAAGCAAACCGAGCTGGACATTCCCAACTGGAAAGCAAGCTGTAGGTAAACATACAGCTGGGAGGCTCCGAGCCTACCGCCTCTGGAGCTGCCCAACATGGCTCTGGGGGAAGAGACAGCTTTTATTTTTGTGGAAATTAAGAATCCCTTACCTTTCCAAGGAAGAGGAACAGCTTTTCTCGTGTATTCGGGGGGCTGGGGGGGGGGTGGCTACCCCAAGCATACACATGCAAAGGCCAAAGGAGGACATCACAGTTCTACCTGTCACTCTCAGCCATATTCTCTTGAGACAGGGCTTCTCACTGAACCTGGAGCTTGCCATCTTGGCTAGCCAACAAGTCCCAGCAATCCTCCTGTCTCCACCTCCAGCAGTGCTAGGTTACGGGAGCACACAGGCATGCCATCTTCCATATCAGTGCTTCCTGCCTTGCAGAACTTTAAGTCTGTGTTCAAAGCAAAGTGTGAGGCTGGGACGTACAGCCCTTCTCTCTGACCCCAACAGTTCAGCAGCTGCTTCCCTAGTGAAAGAGTATCCGAGCTTCAGCTGGTCCTCAGAGGAGGGTTTAGCAGCCGGTAACCCAGATTAACCCATCCCTCTGAATTTCCACCCACACACCCATTCACCCCTACACGCTACTGAATACACTCGAGATACGTACTATTGTGCTCAAAGTTTCTGATTCTAAACATTTACTCCTAGCCCAGGGAGGTGATTTACTCCAGGAAGATGATTGTGTGTAAGATTTGTTTGTTTTGACTACACAATACTCTGAAACAGAAGCTGCTACCTCCTCTCTATCACAGTCCAGGTAAAAATATCCTACTCTATAATATCTGTAATGAGCTGGGAGCGTAATGAGGTTCTTCTGCAGCAATCTTTTATACAGTTCTTACACGGGAACACTCCAGTCAGTCCACATGAAGCGCTCGCATGTGATGTGACTGCTGTCCAATCCTGCGGCTGCTGGGAGCTTTAAGAGACCAGAGGACCAAAGCACATAAAATCCAGCACATTCTTGGCTTCTTACTTTTATACTGCTTTGACATTCTAGGAAAATGAGTATCGAACTTAATTTGTCCAGATTGATCTAGGGCAAAGGGAAAATTTAGGTTTTAGAGTGCTTCAATTCAGTAAACCATCCTCACTGGGAAATGTCAAACCTGTTTTTTCTTCAGGCTTTCTGAGGCCGCCTCCCGCCCTCTGTTTTGGCTTTACATGTAACGGTGTAAAAAGGGATTCTCTGGTGAGGGAGCTCGATGACTACACATGATACTAACTTCTGCTTCTTTGTAAGCCATCACTCCACACCGAAATACAGAAGCTTCGTTAAACAGTTAACAACCTGCTTCCCGAGAAACAGCATCCCTCCACTCATCGGAGAGAGAAGTCATCTGTGATGACGGCTTTTCCAACAAGAGAATTAAAATAATCCCAACATTAAAACCAAAACAAAAACGTTTTTTGTTCTCATGTTTTTAATTAAAGTATTTGTTTCATAGTCCTGGTTTGGTAATGACTTTTATATTTTTATATCACAAGTTGGTCTTTAAGTAAACTCACAACATACTTAAGGCAGATTTAACCTGTAAAAAGTCTTAGCTCCAAAATACCATGACATCACTTTATACAAACAGTAAAATCAGAAAGCATCCATATTTTTCTTGGCTTTTATCTTCAGACTGAAAATTTGAGGAAAACATTAGATTTCCATAAAATTTCACCTTTGAGATGTGAAAAAAAAATACCACAACAATTCTGTAATTTTCTTTACCTAATTAAAGTAAATATAGATACTACTGACAACTTAACTTTCAAATACATGGGGAAAAATCGACACTTTAGGACAGCTCAGAGGTAGAACGCCGACCTGTCTATCATGTACAAAACCCTGGGTTCAATACCCACCCAGTCCTGAAAGAAAAAAGAAGGAAGGAAGGAAATAAGAAGGAAAAGGAAGGAAGGAAGGAAGGAAGGAAGGAAGGAAGGAAGGAAGGAAGGAAGGAAGGAAAGAAGGAAGGAAGGGAAAACCAATACTTCATATTCATTCCTCACAGAAGGTTATGCAGCATAAACAGTAGCTGCTATGAGATCATTTTGGTAAGTATTGCCTTAAACTCCCGCTCACATAATTTTACATGTCCGGTTTATTATCCAGATACGTAAACCCAAAGCGTCCTCAGGTTACATTAACAGCAGGAGGCTGGGTGGTTCTGAAGATCCAGTCTCTGGTCTCCTGTCATTAATACAAAGTGAGGCGTTTAAAAGTAATTTGGTGAGATCCGAATCTTTGGGGGACCTTATATCCCAAAACCTTCAGGGGACCCGTGGGCTCAGGTAGAAAACGCTGGGGCCCGAAAGGCTCGCCGATAAGATAGTGTTTCATTAGCTCATCTTTGGGAAACAGGAATACAGCCAGAATCACTTGTTATGTATCACTGGAAAGCAAGAGCCACCCACACATTTCAGAAAAATACCTTTACCGTTTGGGTGTTTTCAAACGTGTGCTGTTAGGGGGCATGCGCAGTTAGGACCTGATCACAAGCGACCTCCAGCTCGCCTGTGCCTCTCCTTGGCTCTGCCGTGCTCAAGCTCTTCCCATAGGCATGCACGTTTTCATCCTCAAAGCAGGACAAACTCTTCCGTGCTAAACCTTTTGAATTTTTTCTTTTCATCTTCCGAGAAAAGGTCTTCTTCACTGGGTGCCGTAGACGTAAAATCAAAGTCTCTGGAGTGGCCGTTTACAAAAGTGAATAATGGATATTTCTCCTTGGAGGAAATTTTCAACATCTGTAAGAGGCAGCACAATGAATCACTCACTAAGTGCCACAGTGCATAGTAGGGCCACGTGACAGAACTAAATGCTTTAGCCCCGACCTTGCCTGTCCATCTCTCTCAGTTCCACTCCTCCAGTGCTGTTGTTTTCACTGTCCTGCCCGCAGGACTGAGGCTCATCAGCACCACACAGCTTACCTAGGAAAACACTGCCAGATGACCCGTCCTCTCCACCCCAAGGTCTCTCACGGTCTTCTAGCCCCATTACCTCGTAGTCATGCTCAAGAACTAACTCCTATTTATCTTCTTTCTTTTTGCAAAGTAACAAGAATGTAACAAAATGTGATCTTGGGCAAACCAGTCTCCCTCTTCACCTATGAGACAGCCTAAGTCAGCCAATTTCCCTACTTCGGAGAATTGTTTTTAAAAGACTAAAAGCAATAATTTGAAGTTCTTCTGAAAAGAAAAAAAAAATATATCGAGGGCCAGTGAGATGGCTCAGTGGATAAAGACACATGCCACGAAGCCGGGAGACCGGAGTTCAATGCCAGGCACCCATGGAAAGAGAATTCATTCCCACGAGGTGTCCTCTGACTTCCACATGTATACAACAGCATAAGCATACTCACATTTAAGAATGTCATAAAAACAAAGAAATGGGTTTGGTCTTTCCAAAGATTCCTACTCTAAAAATTGTGCCTGAAATATTTCTGCTTTAACCCAGTCAGCACAAAAGGGTGGTCTCCTGGACAATCATGACACGTTGCCTCCTTACGAAGAACACAGCCCCTAAAACCTCATGGGAAACCTGCAACTGTTACATAACGTTCAACAGTTTAAACCTTTCCATTAAATAAATTCTATACTCTGTCTCCAGACGGGCTACAACTTCACAATGACCCTGCCTCTGCCTCCCCAATGCTGGGGTTACAGGCATGTGCCAATATGCCCAGCAGAAATCAAAATTTTGTCGTCAATAAGGGCCACGGAAACACCGTGAAATTCAAGTTATACACGGAGGCTGAGGGAATAGCCGCCGTACAAATACACATCGCTAATCGTCAGTCAAATGCGGTTTGCTGCCACCTGTAGATTTATCGAACACGCATGCATGCGTGCGGGCAAGCACATATTACATTCGTTGACTCTCTTGAAACATGGCTTAAATAGGTAGCTATGGCGAAAGAAACAATGTTAAAAACATCTCAATGACACACTTAACATAAAACACATTTTTAAAACCATTTTTAACACAACCAAATCCTAAAAACCAAATCCTAAAATCTGATGAAACCAGATTTTACAATTCCTAGCAGGCTTCTAATTTAAATGTTGCTGTAATTTATTTGATTTACCTTCTTAAAAAAAAAAAAAAAAAAAAAGACAAAGAGAAGGACAAAAAACATGGAAAATAAAGAACAAGAGGCAGAAAGGGTTGGCATCTGAGGAATCATTTTCCACCAGCCAGCAGCTGGGGTATACGCCAGACCTGCCTGTCATTTCACATCCATTTCATGCCGCTTCTAAAGTCCTGTATCCGATGGGCAAGCATCCATATCACACTGCTTTCAGATCGGCATAGCACAGCTAACTTTAGAATCTTCCAACCTTCCTTTCAAGATCAGAAAAGAGTCATTGAGTGTGTTAGCTATGACCAAGATGCTCGTCAATTATCAGACTTAAATATGCACCCCAGGGAAAAAGTCAGAAAGAAAACTTACAAACTGCATTTCCTGTAATCTAAGGCCTCCTAAATAAAACCTATGGATTCTAGCTTTGAGAACTATCAGTGACAAATCTTTCCGAATTTATTTTAAATAATACTAAAGACTCACAAATAAGAAGTATACTAAAGATTTATCTAGGGGGCTTAGCAGTTAAGAGCACTGGCTGCTCTTCCAGAGGACCAGGATTCAATTCCCAGCACCCATACAGTAGCTCAAAACCATCCATAACTCCAGTGCCAGATATGATGCCCTCTCTCTGCCTTCTGTTGGGTACACGTGTGAGGAAAAACTCCTATACACATAAAATTAAAAATTTTCCCCAAATTAGTTAAAATTTAATGTCCACATAAAGCCTGCAGCACGGGGTTGGAGAGGTGAATCAGCAGTTAAGAGCACTGGCTGTTCTTGTAGAAGATCCTAGCTCAGCTCCCAGCACCCACAAGGCATCTTCAACCACCTGTAACTCAAGTTTCACAGGATCTAACACCCTTTCGCCTCCCCAGGTTCCAGGAACACATGAGGCACACATACATCCATGCAGAGAAGCATTCATACGCATAAAATAAAAATAAAAACCCTACATATATATGTTTATAGCAGATTTTTTAAGTGTCAAACTTGGATGTAATCAAGATGCTGTTGTTGTTTTTTTAATAAAACACATAAACTGTGGTAATCCAGAACATGGAACATTTTCTGTGCTGAAAAGAAATGAGTTATCAAAATACATGTAAAAACTCCAAGTGCCTGTTGCCATGTGGAAAGGGTCAGTCTAAAGAGACTCCATACTTGATGGCCTCTGCTATTCAACATTTTAGCAAAGGCAAAACGATGGCCACTGTAAAAAGAATAGTAGAGGACAGGGGATGAACGGGCATAGCAGAGAGGCTTTTCTGGCAGTTAAACATTGTTCATGATATTATAATGACATGTGTCTCAATATGTCTGTCAAAAGTCACAGAATGTATAGCATACAGAGTAAATCTTAAAACTCCGGATTTGGGACAACAGCAACATGTCAATCTGAGTGTCTTGGTTGTCACAAATACACTACCCTGACAGGGCAGACTGATAGTGGGGAGGAAGGCTTGTGGGAAGCTTCCTGTTCAATCTTGTTGTAAATCTGAAGCTAAAAATTAAAAAGATTATTCAACCTATTATAAATGCACTATAACAGACAGATGACCAGAAGATGATGCTACGTGAAAACCTACCAGCACATCAACATAATGGCAAGGAAGACAAATGAGAATGGGAATGCCAAAGGGCGCTTTGCAAATTGTCTAGCTCAGTCTTTCCTAAGTAGACCAATTCAGAACCAAAGGACTCAAATAATTACGTAGCCACAGAAGATGGCGACTACATCAACCATTCACTATTGGTACACGCAGCTTCAGCAACTGCAAACAGACTTTCCAGATACTTCCCATAGCTACGAGGACCACAACAAGACAGCTTTAAAAATACAAAAAACTACTAGTTTGAAAAATTGGCACACTCCAAAGTACTCGGGGGGATCAGGAGTTCAGTGCCAGCCTGGACTAAATATATCAGTTTAATGTCTTAAATTGTCAGAACTAAAACTAAAGCTATGTACATATAAATACATGTATATAATATATATATATTAAAGAGTGGCCAGATAGATGGTTCAGTGGTTAGGAGCACTGGATGCTCATACAGAGGACCAGGGATTGATTCCCAGCACCCACAAAGTGGCTCACAAACCATCTGTAACTCCAGACACTCTGTCTGGCTACAACAGGCAGCAGGCACACACGATACACAGACACATGCAGGTGAAATACCCACAGACACGGAATAAAGGAAATAATAGAATAAAGGAAAAACAGAAAAAAGGAAGGAAGGAAAAGACAAACAGACAAGAGCTGTGTGGCTGAATCGCACTAAGGAGGCAGGTGCTGTAAACTCCCTTACATCTGTCCCCTCGGTATTCAGTCTTAAATCCCAGTCATTCCACTAGCTCTCAGGTAAAGATTAGTTCTTATTCTCACCTTGTATCTAAGATCATCAACCCTCGCGAGCATCTCTTTCTTAAACGTTACTTCCTTCTGTTTTGCAGTATTTTGCTTCCCCGTGTCTTCTGAGTGACTCTTTGTCCCTTCCCTCGCTCACTGTCTCCATTTATTTCCACATCCCAAAATAAAGATACAAAACTGATCCTTCATCTCTCCTACGTTATTAGCTCCTTCTATGGTCACCCCTCAAAAATATTATCTGCTCTCAGTTTCAACTGTTTCTCTGAGAAGCATCGTTGCCATCTATCGTCTGCAGACAAGGAAGTGAACACTGAAGGGTCAGGTGAGTTCTCTGAGGATGCACGGCTACAGCAACTGACAAAGCCAGGGGCCGCCATGGCAGCTTCTTTCTACTATGGCTACTATGCTGTACAGCCTTCCAGAGCAAATGGAGGCTCACTGCAACATCAGATCAAATCACTCATAACAAAACACAGCAATTTCCACACCCCCCCATGAGTTTCCTTCGAGAATTCTGTCAATAGTGATACCTTTTCTATTAATTAGTAGTACTGTTTTATCAACAAAAAGTCTTTTTTTTTTTTTTTTTACTCGAATTGTTTAGTTGACATTAAAACAGTTTCTGTAATTCCCTGGCCTCACTCTCCTAATTACAGTAAGATTGCTAATGTCCCAGATGTTTCGTTTGCCTTCAGGGTAGGAGCACGTGGGTATGAGAGTGGCAGCCTTGCATCTACATCCCATTTCATCGGCAAAACATCCTCAGACGCCTGGTCCACGCCCACCAATGCGCCACTGCCCAAAGCCACTCTAAATGACTGAGATCCTAAAAACAGGAGCGAGATGACACATTTTCACCACAGATACTACCGGGATCCTCCTGGCAAAAAAAAAAAAAAAAAGGCACACTGTTGGTGTGCCATTCGCTGTTGGATGAGGACGTGCTAAGGACATCTTCAGGGTCTGTGGTCAGAAAAGGCCAGGCTGAGACCTGAATGACAGGAAGGGAAAAGAAGCACTCTAGGCAGAGGAGCCAGATGGACCGGAGGCTGTGGGAGCCAGCACTCTCGGCCCATTTGAACAGACGATGGAAGGAAGCACAAGTGCTCTCACAGGTCCTGCTCAGTCAGATGAAAAGCTGGTTTGGGTTTCCCTGTTTGCTTAAACGCTCAATTCATAGCCAGTTCTACCACAGACTCCTCACAGCATTCTTCCTAGAGTTTCTACCCACGGCTTCTCTGGTACTTCCTCGTGCTTTTTCCCCCCCGATTGCATGACGATCACTTCT